ATGAGGATTAAGAGTCTGGATAGTTAGCCTCTGCCAAAACACACTAGAGCACTAAGCACATGCAGGAATAGGAGTGAACACATAATCACAGACGAAAGGCCAGTTATGAGATCCTCTAAGGAGCATGATGCATGATTGCATTGAACAGTATGTACATCGTGCTCTAAGCTTCTTTTGCCATCTCATGATTGTTGAAAATTTGCCTAGCAAAGAAGGCACAGGTATGGATAGATGGGGAAAACCATTGGAATATGCAGAGAAACACGCAGCAAAAAAGACTCTTTCCCAGATTAAATGTTGTCGCTCTTCCTAGGCTACAATGACTATTCTTATTGCTTCTCCTCTAAAGCGATGGGCAATCATGTCTGGTGTCATAATCTGGACTGCATCAGCACCGGCCCCCTGGAATTCTAATGATTCAACAAGAAGTATTTGTACCTCTCTGTATATAAAAAGGGCATTTGTTTAGGTTCAGCTCCCATATTTCCCTGCTTCCATTTCCTACTTTCCTTTAAATAAACAGGTCAGGAAGAATGAGACAGAGTCCAAAAATAAAGCATACAATTTTAGAAAGATAAAGCCAGACCCCTCACTCCTACAAAAAAAGCAAAATGAAAAACCTTTCCTTAATATTAAAGAAGTGCATATGGCCAAAGTATGTATTCAGTTCACATACATACACAATGTGTAACAGTGTTCATCGTAACTTAGTAGCATAATTATGGAAAATTTTCCATATTTTTTTTTTCGCTTTTTATAAAATTCTAGTTATTAAATAAAAACAACATAATAATAAATAATAATAATACATTATTGATTAAATCCATCCATCTTCCAGAACTGCTTACTAGTATAAGATCATGGTATCTGATAATATTAGGGCAGGGGTGGCCAGTATTATCTGCAAAGGGCCGCTGCATATGCTGGTTTTTGCTACAGCTCCCTAATTAGATTACTGAATAGAGGACCGATTGGCTGGAGAGTCATCACACCTGGGTTTGAACAGCTGACCTAAAGGTTATCCCAAAAAACTCTACACACCATCAATCCTTTGCGGATAAGACTGGCCACCCCTGTATTTGGGTGAAGCCTCACTAGGTCCGTACCATGCCCCAAAATTCCAATTAGTTTGCTTGTGTGATTACTTGCTTAACCATGCCTGGGCCTGCTTGAAGAAGTGGGCCGGGGCATGGTTCAGTTGGACTTGGGTACAGTATGCATCTAGTGTGATTACTAACTGTGCCTGAGCATGGAATGCACACATGACGTCAATGATGCAACTGGCCATTTAACAGACATGCTGGCAAAGGGGTCATTTCTGTCTACTGCAGAGGTGCAGTGTTTGCTGGAAATTTGGGCCGACAAGAGTATCCAGGAACAATTGGATGCAACACGCAAACTCTCAGAGATATGTGGTATAATACAGTCTTCTTATACGTGCGGCACAATCAAATGAAAATTGCTGCACTGCATACTTGATAGATCTCTAAGAGGACTACAGTATGTGTCCTAGCACCCAAAACCACTCCAAATAAGCCACAAAATAAGGTAATTAATCATGAACTCCATTGTGATATGCGATAGTGCTTTCCTTCCTATGTGTTAAACACAAAAAGTCGCACGGTGATGACTAAATACAGCTTGGGCCCAGAATGTTAAGTACAATGTAAGTGCAGACCAGTCATTAGTCATCATGTCTTTGTTTCTGTAATAGCATATTTGTGCTAAAATTCTAATACAAAACAAATGACGTTGAATAGTGTGGTACTCAAGCAAGAACTTCCTCTCTAGCCCCGACTCATTGTGCACGTTCCTGTTTCACCCAATTTCACACAGCCTTTGTGCAGACTTGTGCTGCCATATCACTGTACATGACAGAACCATGAGTGAAGTGAACAATGACTTCATCGCTTACTTTGCTCCACTTCCCAGAAGGTGGGGGGGGGGGCGGGTGTGTGCAGAAGAATGGGTAATCTCTGCTTCAGGACAATGAGGTGAGCTCATGTATGTAAAGCTCCTGCTCCCAAACTTTTTCCCAAGACCGTGGCTGCCTGCATATTACCCAACCGGAGGGCAGTCGTTTTGTATTCATCTCAACCTAAAATTAAATAGTCATGTGGTTTCAGCCAATGGACCAATGGCCAATTATTCTGTAGTGAGTCAGCAAAGATGAGTTCACCCTGACTAGAATCATTAAACTGTGCCTAGCAGCAATGGAACAAGGGGAGTAGGGGAGCAAAGGCTCATTGTTTAATTAGCCAGCAGCAAAGGACAAAGAGCTCAAAGCAGATAAAGGCTTAAAGCTGAGGTATCAGACGCTCTGCTTGTGGGTCTTGGGGCCCTGAAATTCTGCTCCAGCTCCACCTTAATTAGGCCATTCACCAAATATATCACAATGGCCTTAAATGACAAACAGACTGCTCCGAGGATTTACCAACATTTTTGGCCATCTTAAAGTCTATTTTCTGTTATGGGTGCAGTTCTAGGTGACTCATTGTAAATCATTTGGGTTGGATTAGTACTCAACTTCATTAACTATAGTTTACACACAGTAATCGAGTCTGACTGGACATAAGGGTGTTGATTAATTTTCTATAACAGCACAAGTAGTGCCAGCCTGGGGTAAATCAATGCGTGATTAGAATCCTTAATTCTAGCTCATGTTACTTATAATTTCAAACTGAAAACACAATTCAAAAATATCAGAAACTATAAAAACATAGAAATTGCTACAAACCACTTAGATAACAACAGTGCTTGAGGTTGAGGACCATGACCTGTGGTTAGTGATTTAATACCAAAATGATTTACTGACGTAATGCACTTGTAGCCCAGTCATACTTTACAGATTTGTGTAACCTGCATAAACGGAATGGTACGCAAGTCTGGTTTTAATAATTAATAAACAGTACATACTCAGGTTTTACCCATAATGCAGCCGAATAAGTAGTGGTACATAAAGCTACATTAACTAAGTAATGACTGGATCCAAGCAGACACACACACACACACACACACACACATACAAACATTGAACGGAAAAGCACATAGTGTCATACACAATAAAAAAACAGAACAAAGAAAACCTGAATTGTCAACTGATTTGAGAAAACCTTTAAGCAACTAAATAATGTAATGTAAAGGCTTGTGAGGCAATGCATAGTTCCCCAGTGCAATGCATGAACATGTGTCATTATTTATTTATTCTTTAATCCTGACATATTCCACTCTCCTCTCCTGTGAGAGGTCAGAGCAAAGCTGTGAGAGGTCAGGAGACAGGGTCAGCCATTACATGGAGTAAACATTTTAGGGATAAGGACCTTGCTCAAGGACCTAAGGGTGACATGATCACTCCGTCAGTCCACAAACACAGCCACAGACTCCAAACCTGCAGAGTCTCATGCCATCAGCACACAGTCTGAGGCTCAATATTTCAGTAATGCTGACACCAAAATGGTTTTGATGAAAATGCCAGTCCATCTGTAAATATCCATGTAAGCTAAGTGGTGCCTGTAGATGTGTTCATCCACAATCACACACACACACACATGTGCACACACACACACACACATGTGCACACATCAGCCCTCTCCATTTACTGCGCTGACTCAATGACAAAAAAGCTGTGAGGATATCTTTCCAGCAATCACTATTTAAAACCATTTCTACAACAAAAAGAAGCAATATTAAGATATTAAGATTCAGGCATTCCGTTAGCACTCTCATTCAACTGACAGCAAGCGACAAGTACAAATTGAAAAGTGAATTAACTTAAACTAAAAGCAGGACACAAAACATTTCAGATGATGACTAATGGACAGTGACTGTATTTCAGGTTTTGCTGAAGATATGCAGAAATACACATTCCACAGAGACCTTTTTTCTTCTTATTATTTTTATAATTAATTGTTTTGTATATTTGTCATATAGGTCTTGTAATGGACTCGCATCCTGTTTCGGATGCTGCCCTGTCTTGTGCTGTATGCTGCTTGGGTTGTGCAGATAAACATGACAGATCTGAACCCATAATTGTGAACTAGCTTGTTACTCTCCTGCGTGGGTCCCCTGCGTAAAGCTGCTGTCAGCACCTGCTGTCGACAAGCTGCGTAACAGGGACACCCAAAACAGGATGGGCGGGGCTACTAGGAGCTCAGCAGCATGGGCTGGCTGTCGTAATGGTAGTGGCTGGGTGGGGAGGGGGAAGGTTACACAAACAAAGTGCTGTTCTGAAAACAAGCTAAATAACACAGTTCCATGATATAACCTAGTTCCCGAAATCCTTAACTTGGTATGTAATTCATTGGCGAGAACACAAACGAAACTCCTCACACAAGACTTGATTGAATGAATTATTAGTCTATTTAGACAGATTTCTGACTACCTTAGTGGTAACAGCAGCTCTTGCTTCTCCTTTTAATGATTTACCTGCCGTGCAGGACTGTCGACACTCCAAATATCTTGGAGACAGCTACACTTTCCATTGTGTTTTTCATGAACGAAACCTGCATAACCTGTTACTAACCAATACTGGGCTTCCATGAAAGGTCTCAGAATTCCCCCAGCACGAGTGTGGCTCAGCTTTAGCTCTTCATATGAAGATCAACATGCCCATACAGGCCAACTAATGCACCTTTTTTGGTCATCATTGTTATCATTGGCAGGTTCACTCTACGAGCCAGTCCTGTACACACTTCACCTTTTAAAACATTACTGCTTGACACGTGCATGCAATACATGCTTAATAAAGATGCAAGACTTGGATCTGCGTCAGCAGAGCACATGAATCTACAATAAGCCATAAATAAAGAATTTCATAACCCAGTCACAATGGGAATCGATATCTATGAAATTCGCCATGTACTGAAGCTACTAGTCAGCCATCTTGCAAAGCATTTTTTGTGTGTTAAAAAAGGAGAAATCGCTACAATGCCAGTGATGCCTTTTTGATTGCTTTGATGGGTCCCACTAAGGTTCCCCAAAAATGCAGTGGAATGACTTACCCTCAGTGCCTCAATCACCAGATCACGGGCCTCCAGCTCCCCCTCCAGCACACTGAAAAGCATTAGCAGCTCTGGCTTGCTCAGGTTCTCCACATCCATTCTTGATTCCTAGAGGTATTGGCCAGAGTTAGGTGACAGTTGGGGACGAGTTCGGCAGAACGCTGACATCCCATCCCATCATAAGAAGTAAACAACCTAACTGTCAAGTCATCCCTCCTAAATATTTTTGGGTTGTTGTCTGTAGGCAACACCTGCAGTGGTGCCAATTACTAACAATTATATCAAGAATAATGATGACACACTTCTTGAACACCTGAGCAAAAAAAATTACATTGCAGGATTTGTTCTGGTATGTGACCGATGATTCTACCACAGTGCAATCATGGTTTCGAAATATAGTGATAAGAGATGCACAATATATCAGTTACCGTAAAAGTATCGGGTGATATTCATCAAAAATTAATGTATCTGCACTGGCCCAATATGTCAATCTTGCCAGTCGATATTAATATTCAATTGCTATCAATATTCAAAGTTGGCAGCACCATAGCTAAAGACACAACCCCCCCCCACACACACACACACACACACACTTGGCAAGTGGTTCATAGGTTAGTCATGTATCGGTATAAGCAATATTGTACAAAAATATATTCGGTCAAAATTTCTACATCGGTGTTTTAATAAATACTGATGACTTTCAGTTCATAAACTAACTCTTTCCTAAAGTAACAAATAACAACACCCTACCATTCTGAGCCAAATAATTAAAATATCGGTTATGGGGACCAACACTGACTGTCTTCAGGGTCAGCAGGTATTATGGTGGCTAAGACTATAGAATTAATAGCTAAAAGTCTCCATATGTAACTACTAATAAAAGAACACAGATCTAAAGGTCTGTGAAAACCATATAAAAACAGAAATAGATTAACACCTTTAAATATTTATCTTCTAACAATCTCATCATTAATAATTTCAGTGTGAAATGCATAACCATCACACATTAAAAGTGCTGACTTTATATTTCTATTAATATTGGCTCCTGGTATCAACCGTTCTAACTGTAACAAACTAAACCATCTCAACACTTTCAAAACGGTCAAAAAGCACAGAATGACTAAATGTAATTCACTCAAGGCAAATACAGACACGTCCGACTTGCCAAAGCTGGAGAGAAGGGTTTGGCTATTGCTGAGTGATCACCAAAAAAAAAACAGTCAAATGGAAACTCCTTTGCCTTTGAAGCCTCTATAGAAAGTTTAGAAACGGCACAGTATTTCAACACAAGGCTGTTTTGGATTCATCTCCCTTCAAATCCCACTTTTATACACAGAGTAATTATCTTATTTCCCCTTCAGTTGTACCTTAACTGATGCCTCCTAAAGATCAGATCAAAACATAATGACTGATCGTTGACAAAAAAGAAACTTTAGGCTTTTATTTTTCATTAAAACTTCATTAAAATATACTACTTAGGCAGTTTGAGCAAGCCTAGAACTCCTCTTTAAATTCATTGACACAGTAAGGGGCAAGCAAACTGGGACGACCATCTGCAGTAACAGGATTAGAGAACAGTTGTTTTAGTTCCACAAACATGGCAGTTCTTCATATTGCTCCAAAATAACAGTTTTGAATCAATAAAAATGCATTCACTGGCCTGAGTAGGCAATACAAATGACAGCAGTCCTTTCTTGGCACCCTGATGCTGAGTCTTCAGTTACTTAACAGGAAGACAAAAACAGTAACATTGCCACCATTCCAATGTGCACACTACAATAGGAATGACGTAAGCTGCTTACACTGTTAAAGTATCCGATACTTCAAGCTGCATTGGCACAAAACTGTCCTGATTAGCCCATTTATATTTAATATCATTGTCCCAATGTGTATCTACTTTGTGCTTGTATCCGGGATCCCTTTATGCTGCTCACAGGTTCACCAGTGGTTTGTGGTTGCACCACAGAGCGTTAATTACAAAGAAAAGCAAGAATTCTTAACTCCCCAAATTCTGTCAAAAGTCTGCTAATTTGACACAATAAATCTTTATGCACAATCTACTGGGGTAAAGTAGTAATTCTGCTCCTGATATTACTGGGAGCATTTTGTATGTTTCATTTGTAGGAGAAAAGTACAAAACCTATAAGTAGCCACAGAACTTCAGCCCCCTCTATAGAATTCCCTTAACCAGCCAGGTCTATCTTCTGCCACACATTGTGTATTAGGTGACTGTTAGCCTCAGCCTATGCCTGCAGTGGCATTCAATGGCAATGCAATGACTCCTGTAAAACTACAGGAATTTACAGGTGAATTATTCATTTAATCATGCTTTCTACATAAACACTTCTGGGAGAGTTCAGTCATGCAATCCGGATTTGCTTCTGATTAATGCAAGAAAGGGCTAATGAGGGTGGATACTAATAAGGTGTTTACTATGACTAAAATGATATTCATTTGAATGAAACAATATAATAATAATAATAATATTTTTTACCCAAAGGCAACATACATAGATTTCAGCTTTTAATCCCTCATCCCCTCCCCAAATTCTAAATTAATTATTAATATGGGTATCATTGCCCAGGACATTACTGTGTCAATACTGTGACAATACACTACATGAAGGACTTAATATTTACCTCAGGAAATAAGAAAAGCGTGAGAAATCAAGCAGTAAAACAAAATTGTTCTTCCTTTTACCAAGGTACAAGTTAAAACAGGCCTGGAGATTACACTTGCTATTCCATTATCTGCAGGGCCAAGTTCAGGCCTTAAAGCAATATTCCAACAACATTACCTCAGCCTAATAAATAAGTGCACAGTGAATAGTTTGTCATATATTTCCAGGTGGAGTCTGTACACAGATACAAGGCATCTTACGCAGAAGAGTGAACACATGGTTAAATGGGAGTGGTACAAAAATGATAAATGCAGTGACAAGTGTAGAAGGAGAGATCTGGCAGTCATTAGCTGGGAAATTCAACCTGCTTCCTTCTACGTTATTTGGATGCGATGTTTTCCAGTACTTATATCAGGCTCATCCTCCAATTCACAAGTCACGTGTGGATTAAACGGACACAGCACGGAGACAGTGGCTCCCATGGTTACAAAAAATGCCAATTCGCTAGGAAATGCATACAGAACTTCGACAAAAGGACATAAATAGTTCGTGGGGAATCGGCCGGAGAAACTAAATATATTTATCCGAACAGTAAGCCAAATAGGGCACATCGCAACTAGCTTTTTCTTGTAATCCTGTAAGTTTTTTCTTCTTTAATACATTTATGGAATTAAAAATCTAATTTAATCTATGTTTATTTATTTAGCTTTATATTTAAAAGATTTTAACCCTTGATTTTGCGATTTTTCATTAAATCCCCAAACCATGTACTTACAGGTTGTTAATTTATGAAAATTATTCTTACTACAATTAATTGTAATGTATTGCGGATTTTACAAACACATACACAGGCTACAAGCACGTATATAAATGTAGTTTTTTACGTTTGGGGTATATGTCCCTTATGTTTCAAAGCATCTGGCAAAATGTTTCAACTAAGTTTTTTGTCTGAAGCTAGTCTGTCTTTGGTTTACCCTATTGACAGTCTACAAAAAAAAAACGATAAACATTAGCACAAAATATCCATACCTTCATGCACCCGGTACCAGCCTCTTCAATTTTCCCCATTCAAAATATGTTACAAAAATCGACTTACTTGTATACCAACCCCAGCGGAAAACACAGACAGCTATTTTGACAAGGCGCTCAGCCAATTAGCAGTTAGCATTCAGAGGTGCTGGCGAATAAGAAGCCAGAAGTGCTCGACAGGGGCGGGAAGGGGGCTGTCGCGCGAGGCTGGGACAAATCTCTTTGTTTGGACTCCAGTGTCCCATTGCTTCTCTCGACCAACACTGATTTATGAAGTAATTTCCTGTATATTTCCCAGCAAGGCGACATTTATATATTAATTATACTATTGTTTTAGATTTTCATCTTTGGCGTTAAAATCGTTTTAAGCCAGGCGTGTATCGCAAATGACAAGTGACGTAAATCGTTTGGTTTAGCCTACATTTAAACTGCAAAACTATACCATAACAAACAATTATTTATGATTAAATTAGTATAAACATAAGAAGGAAATTTAATTTAAATTGCTTTCATTCTTTTAACTCTCAAATACACTCAAGATCATCATCACATGGTGCGGTGGGAAAACAATTGAAATGGGCTATACACGTTAGAATCAGGAGTCAACACCATGGCACATTCTGACAGTTTTGATCAAAATGCTTTTTTACCACGGACACTTGGTATTTTTAAAAATGTAATCTACATATATATTTTTCTCAATCAAAACATTTTTCAACGGATACGTTTGTCAGTGTAGGGGCAGGTTAACAATCTCTGGTAATAATCGGCAGATTCACAGAACTATTTATTACAAGTAAAAAAAAATACTAATGACACCTTATCATATATTTTACATGGTTAGTATTGTTTTCTACCAAAAATCCCAAACTAGTAATATATGAAGAATTACATTGTGGGAACGCACGTTGATGTAATGTACTGTCGTAGCCTAATTAGTGTTTAAACACCCTCTGGTGGTCCAAAAAATTCCCACCGCTATTAGCGAGGGCATTAACAGGACGGCGCAAGGTAAGCTTGTTGGGCCTTCAGTCGTTTCTTATATGCCTTCCCTGCAGACCAGATTAAAATATTATTCAGCATATTTGAAATAAGGTTTCCTGGGTTATCCAGTTAGCATGGAAGGTTTAGACTTATCAGAGCACCATGATAGGTCTGCTGTATAGACTGTTTGGTGCCATAAAAATGGAAACAGCAGTAAAAATGGCCTTTGACAAGTAAAAAAAAGAAACTGGTGAGTGAAAGTTCCCCACTGGTCTGTTTTATGTCTGCTGTTTTTTTCTAATTAAGAAATTCCAGCAGTATGTGTGGGAGAAAAGATTCAAGCTTGTAACATACCATAAACCCTCACCAATACTATTTATGAAACAAAAGAACCTATTTACTTTTTCTTGGATTTCCCTGCCAGACATGAGAAATGCTTGAACATGCACTTTTAGCTGAACATTTTGAAGGTGTTCTGCTAAATGTTGACCAGGTGGCATCATGCAGAAACAATACACTTTCCAAAGTGTTGTCATTGAAGAGTGGCTTGGGGTGATGAGTTTGAAAGCCTTCCACAGACATAGATATGAACAGTGAAGATATGTTCTTAGGGGCACCAGGTGCTGATATCAGAGAAATGGAGAAAAGCAGGTGGTGAATGACCCGCATACTGGTTATTAAGGGATAGTGAAAATGAAACCCTATTCTTGCAAGTGTGTGTGGTGGCCTAAAGTCAATGGAGAGTAGGTTTTCAAAATATGTGAATTTTGTCAGGTGGAGCAAAAGGCACTTCTCCAGGTACCACTACTTCAAAGGGCATTTCCTTATAGATACACCTGAAAAATCCTGTACCTTTGTGTGATGTGAGAAATTAAGGACTCAGGAACAGGTGTCAGGAGAACAAAAAGGGGCTTTATCATACTAAAACAGGAGTAAGGAAACAAACAGAACCATAAGAGGTCAAAATGGGAAGACTATAACTGGGAAGAACACAGGCAACAGTAGTACTGACATTAATGACCAAACACAGGAACAGAGGACTTGGAAGCACTTATACACAGGACTAACGAGGGGCTGACACGATGCAGGCATGGACAGTTAGCACAATAGGGTTGGGGATAACAAACAAGACCCAACTTGGGACAATGGGGATATGGAGGACCAGCAGTGACCCCTGCTGGTCCTACCAGGGCATGGATCGGACAGGGTGTGACACCTTGCTTGTCCTTTCCCATTCATAGTACTTCTAGGTCAGGGGTGTCAAACTCCAGTCCTGATTGCAATTTGTGCCATTACAAATGACATTACCACAGCCAATGACACATAGTTTATGTCTGAGGAGTTTAAAGACTTTAGCAGAATGGCATCATTCACTCCATAAGCACACATAGACACCCTGAGTCAAACATTGTATGGTGGAATTAAAAACCTTGGTCTTTCTAGTGCTGCATGGCAAAATAGATATGCACCTATCTGTTTGGACCTGGTCTGCCCAATCATTATCCACTTGAAGCAATATACTTAAAAAAGAGTGGCAGATACTGTAGATATTTTCCTATAGATGACACAATGTATATTGAAAACAGCATGGGGGAGGAAACAAATGTATTTCAGGAGTGATAGCTATGCAAACTGAATCAGTGCCCTAAAGCAGTGTTTCTCAACACAGTGCTCGTGGACCCCCAGACAGTACATGTTTTTGCTACCTCCCAGAGCTGGGGGCAAAAACAGGAGCATAAAATATGGACTGTCTAGCACTGAGCTGGGTGCGAGCAAAAATATGTAGCATCTCAGAGTCCCTGAGAACTGGGTTGAGAAACACTGCTCTACACAATCAATGGTAGAGACATTGATATCACATACAGGAGATGAGTTTATGTTGGGGGACTTGATGAGAAGATTCCAGGTGGCCCAAATGGGAAGAGTCCTGTAATGCCAGTAGCCATTAGAGGTATGAAAGGCTGTCTTCTCCTTGGTAGCCAAACTGAGTGATTTTCAGCTTGGATATGAAGTGGACTTTACTTAGATGCTCCATAAGTTCATTCATAAGACAGAGTTGGAAGCCACTGGAATGCCCAGGATTACCCCCACCATGTTGGGCCACTCTCATGCTGGACCAGCAATGCATGCAGTGGCTGTGGGGACACACTACCTTGTGTACACAGGTGATGGGGAGGGTGCCCTCAGTTGGGGTTCCATATAGGCAGGAGGGTCAGGCTAGGGTGACAATACTTCCAGCAGGGCAGAGACACGATGTACCTATCTTGTTGTTATCTTGCCATAATACCGTGTTTCCCCGAAAATAAGCCCTAGCATTATTTTTCCGAATGCTCGTAATATGACCCCTACTCCAAAAATAAGCCCTAGTTACTATCCCATGGATTGTACGGTAACTAGAATGAGATGTGATTATATGGAAACAGGAAATAATATTTATGTATTTAATATTTGAATAAATGTATATACAGTAGATTTTTGTTCATGAATAAATGTACCGTTAGATTGTTTACATGGAAAGATATGGTTAGAAGATGACATGATGTCTGTATTTGAATAAATGTGGATTTTTGTTCATGAATACCGATAAATGTACTGTAGTTTGTTGTATATGGGAAAATAAGACATCCCCTGAAAATAAGCCCTAACACATCTTTTGGAGCAAAAATTACTATAAGACCCTGTGTTATTTTCGGGGAAACACGGTAAGAAAGAGAAACTGGCTGTGCATTGCCTAGTCTTCTGCATGGCCGCAGCTATGAAACCACACTACACTGATGGAGGGAAGGCCTGACTAAGCCACCTTTATCTCCACCTTCGGTATGGCAATGCCAGCCAAGTTAGGGAGCGGTTGGTAAGCAGGCCCAGTCCCAGTAAGCATCCCAGCGTGGCCAGCACTCCCTCTCAGTAGGTTGCTCGAACATAGTCACAAATATCATCCTCAGCTGTCAGGTTGATGAAGAGCAAACGTGCCACAGGCTGGTCCTTCCACATATAGAGATCCTGTGTGTGCAGACAGTGCAGAGGTGCCTGCAACATCTTAAAATCTGTGGCATTCATTCAAGATTAGGAGACCGCCTGAAGAATACAGCCTTCAAAGAAATGTACTAAAAATAAAAGAGTAATAAAATCAGCTGAAGCATTATGGGCTGTTCTGTCTCAGAAAGAGTTCACATGATGCAAACAAAAAGGGACAATGATAATTCTTTGTTCTAAAAATAGTATGCCACTGACATGTTACTGACTGTAGCCAGCACACTGTGTTTGAGTACCTGGGTTTGCTTTAGTTGCTTTGGACTGTGTTCAAGACCAGTGAAGTTGTGATTAGATGATAAGTATGACTGGCTCTAGCCTCATGTTTAATACACTATGCTAAGAATAGATAATCATAGAAAGAGGGAAACAACAATTGGTGATCTAAAATGTTCATAATAGTAAAGAAACTTGGTGTTTCGTGACTAGACATCTGCAGCTCTCTACTTGCAGGTTTACCAAGTTGAGCTGTCAGTCCGCTGCAGAAGATTCAAAATCCAGCAGCACATCTGGTGTTCTATCAGCCTAAATGCTCTCATGTTACACCCCTCGATTCATTATAGGCACTCGCATCAAGTTCAAGTCCTTGGTGCTGGCCTTCAGAGCCATTAATGGATAGACATACATCTCCATCAGCAGGCTTATTAAGACCTACGTCCCATCTTGCCCTATTCAGTCAGCAAATCACCACCCCTTGGAGATCCCTCCACCACACAAGATGTCTCGCTCTAAACGTTTCCCATCTGTGGTCCCCCACCCAAAGAGAATGAGATACCGAACCACATCTGGTCATGAGATTCCTTCTCCACCTTAAAGAAGCACCTCATGCCCCATCTATTCCAGGAATTCCTTTACTAGCTTCATGCCTCTCTATGTTCCCTGAGTGTTCCTTATGTTGCACTTCTGGTCATTGAATAGTTTTATGAGGTTTTTGCTTATTGGAAGACATTGCATAGCTCTTGCTCCAGTACTGCTTACACTTGTAACTGGACATTTGTTGGAAGCTCAGCAAACTGCACTTATGCATCAGTCAACTCTTTGACAGCACATACGTTTGTAATGTATTACTTGCCTCATTTGTAGGTGTGGCCTCTGCTAATTAAATAAAAATATATGTAAATGTA